GGCCGGGGCAGGCGGGCAGCGGCGCGGGGCGGGCGGCGGGGCAGGCGGCGGGGCAGGAATGTGGAAGGGGCGGGGCGGCGGGAGGAAGTGCGCGCCGGGCGGCCGGGGGCGGGGGTGCGGGCCCAGGTGAGAGCCGGGAGGCGGGGCGAGCGGCGGGGCGAGCGGCGGGGCGAGCGGCGGGGCGAGCGGCGGGGCGAGCGGCGGGGCTGGCTCCTCGGCTCGCGTCCCGCTCGGTCCCTCGGGAAACCCCTCTGGAGCCCCTGCGGAGGGCGGGCGCCGGGCCGGGGAGCGGGGCGCACAGGACGGGGTCCCGCGCTCAGCCTGCGTCCTCGGGAGGGCACCCGGGTCCGATGGGGAGAAGACAAGGAGCCGGACGATGACTGTGTGTGGGGAGGGTGGACAGGGAAAGAGGAGGCATCTGGCCCACTTCCCCTGGGAGGAGGGAGGCGGGGGTCAGCCCGGTGAGCCTACCAGCTTTGAAGGGACAAGAACTGGGGGGTCCCTGGTGCCCAGCGCCGGTCGGCCCTGAACAAGAGCCAGTGACTTTGGGTGAATGAATGGATGCGTGAAGGAAGGAATGTGCATTTCCCCCAGGGCTCTGGAATCAGAACCTACCACAATCCTCCCTCCAGATGTGTAAGGCCAGGTGGGAAGGCGGGGACCCGGGCATACCCTTATGGGTCAGTTGCTGGCACTGCCAGCCTGCCCTGCCCTTCCCCAGCCAGCACCGGGAAGTTTCGATGCAGGGGGTCGGTGACCACCTGTCTCAGCTCTGGCTGGGGCATCATCTAAGGAAAGTGAGGGAACCTTCCACCCATAAAGTGCTTACAGTAGGGTCTGGTGCATGGTTGGTGCATGTGTTAGTGATCCTTACTGTTTAACCAATACCGATGCCCAAGGGCCTGGGAACCTTGAACACTTCAAGATGAAGTCCCTATCTTGAGAAGCTCACCTCTAGAATGGGGACAGACCGGACGTTGGTGTGGTAAGAGCTACAACAGAGGTGGGGACAGGGATGGGACAGCAGTAGGGAAGAGGGGCTGGTTCCTTACCTGGTGGGGGGGGGGGCGGGCGGGGATCAGGAAACCCTTCTAAGGAGAGGGGCCAGAGTCTTGAAGAAAAAGTGAGATAGTCAAATGGGGGTGGGGGGAGAAAGGTGGTCCAAACTGAGGGAGCAGCACAGCCAAAGTATGGAGGCAAGAGAGAGGGGGTACTTTGAGGGGGTGCTGCAGGCCTTCCCTGTGATGGAAGATGAGGTCAGGTTGGGGAGCTGGTGCCAGGAGAGGCTGAGGTGCCAAACAGGGCCTGGGTAGTGGAGCATTTTGGATGCTGGGAATAAATACAGAACTGAACTGAACTGAAATCTTTTGAAAATGGGCACAAGGCTCTCCCCAGATCCTGGATTGAGTGCTTTCAGTGAAGCTCAAAGGCATGGACGGTAGAATCTTTGGGTTTCACACACCCTTCCCCATGCAGATCATGACATCATCCCTTGTGGCGTTCAAAGCCGGGCACGTGGAAAAGCACCCTCAACCCATGTTGCACCTCACTGGGAACCAAAGAGGCAGCTGGGGCAGGAGTCACTGTCCCCATTGCAAAGAGGCAGAGCCCAGACCCCTGACTCTTATTCCAAGCTCAGCCAGGGTCACAGTCAGCAGGAGGGATGGAGCCTCATCTGGATGGAGGGAGCATCTCATGACATCCCCACCCTTTAGGTGCTCTTTCCTCCCCGAAACTGCCAAAGGGGTGAGCAATGACTTGGCACTGAGCTGCATGTGTAGCCACTGAGCAGGGCTCCCCGCCCCAAGGAGTGGTGGGAGGGGCCCGTCCCCCAAGGATCAGCTGTCAGCCTTGTCATCCTCTATTCTCCCCACTGCTGCTGTCATCGGGCCTTGGGTGACAAGGCTAGGAGGCAGGTGGGGCCAGACTGGAGGTGGAGGGAGCTGAGAGTCAGGCAGAGGCGTTTGGCCTTGGTTGCTATAGGGATAATCATTATAATGACATCCTTGACGTATGTCATGCCTTACAGTTTCGCTGAACATTTCCTAAGAATAACAGCGCCCATTAAAGTATAGCTAACTGTGGGCTGGCACTGTCCCCTAGCAGGTGGAAATTGTTAGCCCCATTTTACAGATGAGGAACCCTGGGGGGCAGGGAGGTTAAATTCTTGTCTAAGATCCACAGCTCGTAAGCAGCAGAACTTGAGTTTGAACCCAGGTCTGGCCACACAGCAGGTCTCTTTTGTGACATCACACCTCATACGCGTTATTTCATTCAGCCGTCAGACTGTGACGTGAGCAGAGCAAGTGGTCTGCTTCCTTCATTCTACAGATTTGGGAACTGAGGCTCAGCATGTTGTGTCCGATTGACTGCCTGGCTGCACAAAGAGGGGAAAGGAAGGAAAACGGAGCAGGGAAGAGAGGAAGGAAGGTTGGTTGACTCAAAAGAATGTTAAACAAACTGGAGAAACGAACAAGGACCAAACGACCACCCAGGTGAGAATACAGCGCATGACCCGATGGCAGGGGCAGCAGGCAGGTGACCACCCTCCAGCCTCCATCCGCTCCAGTGCCCCCTGGCCTTGGCACCTTTGCCGCATTTTTGACCCCCCCACCCCCTTTCTCCCTGAGGCCAGGAGTCCCCTGCAGCCCCAGCCGAGTCTCTGCTGCCGCCTCGTGGCTGCTCCGTTCCCTGCACCATCCCGGCCCCGGCTGCCTGCTAGCTGCTGGGAGTTCCTAGCTCGGGGTGTGGGGCGCTTATGAGTGGTTGACGGAGGGCGGAAGTGGGTGCCGGGGGTGGGGTGGAACTTCAGAGGTCAAGTGCCCCTGGGGATGGCTTGGCAGGGTCCACAGGCCCTTTGCTCCTCATGCCTCCCTCTGTGCCCTCCCCTCCCTTTCAGCTCAAACAGCAGGTCTCAAGAGATCTTGTCTTTGGCCAGAACTCTTCCACCCGAAGCCCTGATCTCCTGTTTACTGAGCATATCCTGGATGCCAGACACTTGGCGTGTGTCACTTCATTCCATCCTATCATGTATAATTCTTATCCTCCTTTGACAAGTAAGGAAACTGAGGCCCAAAGAGGACCGATGATTTGCCTAAGATCCCATAGCTGGTAAGTGGATGAGCTGGGATTCTAACCCAGGCATTTGGGGTCTAGAGCTCCTATACACAGAATCCCCGAAAGCCAGAGGTGTGTGTGTGGGGGCCTTCAGAGGCCTTTCTGACCAACACATTTATTCTTCAGATGTGGAAACTGAGGCTCTCGAGAGGAAGGGACCTGTCACACAGCAAGTAAGCTGCAGGCCCACTCTATGACAGGTGGAGGCTGTTCTCCCGTTTCCATCTGTCTGGCCTCCGTCAGATCCACTCCACTCCAGCTACCATTTAAGTGGACGCCTATCCTCGCCCCCTCTCCCTGACCTGCCATTATGGATCCTGGCGGGTGGAATGAGAAGGTTGGTAATGGGGTGGAAGTGGCAGAGAGCGAGGGGGCCCTGTGGCCCAATCTTATGTTTATTTAGCCTTTCTGTTTGTCCCTTTGGGCATCTGTCGGCATAGTTGGCTGAGGCAGGAGAGAGGAAGTGAAGGTCTGAGTGGCTGCGGGCACTGTGCTGGCTCACCACCCGCCCCGCCCCCCCCCCGCAGGCGTGGCCCAGTGTGGTCAGGTCACTGACCTCCATACCCGTCCTCCTGGATGCAGTGCGGCCTGTCCCTGAAGCATCCCAGATGAAGGGGGCCTGGGACCCTCGAGCCCTGTGGGAGGCAGGCCTCCTGGGGACTGCTGGTGATTTCCACCCAGATGATCCTCCTACACTTGCTGTGGTCTTCCAGGGCAGGGGAGGGAGAAACTAGAGCAGCCTGGGGGAGGCGGGGAAGGGGGCAGTGTGGCCTGACAGTTAAGAGCATGAGCTTTGGAGCCAGACAGGTGGAGCTTGAGTCCCAGCTCTGAGGCTTTCTGGCTGTGTGATCTTGAACTAGTTGCCTAACTTCTCTAAGCTTCTGTTTCTGGACCTGCAAAAAAGGGGATGACAACAGTACCTCCCTCTGGGTAGGCAGTGTTGCAGGACTGCAGGCTGGCACCGGCACCCACTGAACTTGGACGGCCCTTCTTCTCCCTAAGCCTTTCTTTTGGTTCTCTTCTCCTCAGCCTCCCCCAGATTTGCTCTCGCAAGGTTGACAAGTTGGCCCATTTTTTTTTGCCCGCTCCTGCCCTTTTGTGTATTGTTCCCTCTTCCAGAAATGCTTTTTTGGCCTTGTCTACCTTTTTCAACCTTACGGTTCTTCTTGCCCTAAAGACGGCTCAGCGACACCACGAGGAAGCCCTCCGTGGTGTTCTCTATTGCCATCCTCCCCAACGGGCCTGGCTCAGGGCCCCTTCTTGGAGCTTCCCAAGCAGTCTGATGGCACTGGTCCTTGTGATGGTCTCCCCAGCCAGACAGGGGCCTCCTTCCCCTCTGGGTAGCCAGCAGCAGGGCGGTCCACTCAGAGCAACACACACAGAGACCCAAGTCCCTGATTCCTGAAGAAGAGACGAAGGTGATTTGGGGCTGAGCCAGGCTCCCCGGAAGCCCCCTCCTTCCTGCCCCGGCTTTATTTTGGTTCTAGAATCATTCCAGTCAGCAGACTCGGTCCCCACCATGCCCATCCCAGGTACACAGTCCACATGTCATGCAGTTAGAGGGAGGGAAAGAGGGGGAAGGGAAGGTGGGTGTAAACGGCCTGCCTGTGCTGCTGAGCCACTGGGGCAGGAACAGTCTGGGTCTCCCCGGCCGCAGAGGCTAACCAGCTGTGCCCCTGGACCCCATGCAGACCTCCTGGTGCCGGCCACAGGGCTGGGCCACAGCCGTGTCAGGTGGGGAGGGCCAAAGTTCTGCCTCCGGTCCCATGACCACCCTGGGCTCTCCCAGCAGCACTGTGGGGAGGGGGCGACTGGGTTGGGCCTGGGTCTCCATAGCTCACCAGGGCCAGAGGCAGCCAGCCTGAGAGCCCTGCCCTGACCTGTGGGTGGCCCCAGGGAGCAGATGCCGCCACACACCACCCTCCCCACCCCATCCCTCTGAACTGGCAGGGGCACCCACCCCTCAGCTGCCTGCTTCTCTGGGGCCGCCTCTGGTGGATGGGGGTTGCCTCAGCCAGTGACAGCTGGAAAGTATGCACGCTCTTCCCCAGCTGGGGTGGGGTGGTAGCCAAAGCCCTGTGGGGGCCAAAGAGCCCAGCCCCTTTGCTTCTCGGCAGGACCCCTCGGGGGGGCCAGTCACACAACAGAGGTCCTCAGGCCATCAGGCTAGAGCTAGACACTCCGGAAGCCATAACACGCTTAGCTTCTGCCCCTGCTCATGGCTTCCCTCTCTGCCCTCCAGTCTCCTCCAGAGGGAGGAAGGCTCCCTGCTCCCCTCCCAGCCAACCCCTTGCCTGAGAGTCTCAGGATCCGCTTCTAGAACTTGACCTAGGACACCGGGTGCCACCTCCTTCCCAGTCTGGCATTCAAACCTCCTCCCCACCCACACCCCACTGCTCTCAATCCGGATGCCCCTCGACTTCCCCTCACTGTCCCTGCTCAGGCCGCTCCTTTCCTCCAAGGCCCACAAAGGCCTCTCCCACGGACCCCCTGCAGTCTGTTCTGCCTGCCCTGCTGCCCACCAGCTACCCCCAGGCTGAGTCATCTTTCTTCCCAATAGGGCCTGGCCTGGAGGTATGGAGCCAATGCCTAATTCAGTTGGGACCGAACACAAGGACCTCTGGGCCTTGCAAGGATTATGGATCAAGGGAGTGGATTTCATAGCGCGTGACTCCAGAGCCAGCGTCCTCCTGCAGGCCTCTGCTTGGCCTGGTCTCCTGGTCACTTCTCCTGCCCAGAGGCTGAGGACAGATTGTGACGGGGAAGTTCATGCCCGCCTTGCTTGGGCTGGCTGCCTGCCTGCGACACTCAGTTCCTCTCCTGCCCCTCAGGGCACGGCTCCCATCTTGTCCCTGGCAGCCCCCAGAGCTCTGCCACGGCCACATCCAGCACTGAGCGGATCCCCAGTGCAGGGGGGTCTTGCTTCCGGCCATCCTAAGGGCCGTGTCCTCTTTATGTCATGTCTGCTGGTGTCTAGCACAGCATCTGGCCCCCAAGACTCACGCGTTTCCCGTACATGACCCAGCTTAGCCCTGGCCTCCCAGCAGGGGTGGGGCATGGAGAGCCCTGAGAGACTAAGCCCCAACGCCCCAGGCCGAGGGACAGGCCGGTTGGGGATCTCAAAATGGGAGCACGATGGGCCAGTGCCAGGCTGCCTTTCCTGGGTCGTGGCCCAGTCCCAGCTGGCCCTCCATGGGAGAAAACCCTGGGTCCCCAGACACCTGGCCAGGCCCACTCCTCCACTGCAGTCTGGACAGAAGGACCAAGATGGCTCATGGGGGCTCCAGTGGGGGACCCCAGCATTCATGGCTCCCGCTGGACTAGGGAGGGGCTTCGGAGCTGAGCATGGGCCAGGCCCCGGGCAGCTCGGTGCCCACCCTGGCCCGTTTTGCTGGCTGCTAGTTTCGCCGGACGGGGTGCCACATGGACACGGGTCTGCGCAGCGTGGCCAGCATCTGGTTCCAGTGTGTGGTGCCCATGCCGCTGGCCGAAGGCCCAATAATGACATGGCCCACGTTGTCCCCTCGGCCGTCACTGCTGCTCTCAGCCACCGTCACACGGAGAGATAGGTCCTGGGGAGGAAGTGACATGGGTGCTGGGGACCGGGTGCCAGGTCCCAGCGGGGGGCCAGGTGTGGCTCTCTGAATCCTTACCCCTGATCCGCTTAGCCCCCAGGCTTCTGCTGCTGCCTCCCTACACAGAGGTGGTGCTGACTGCCAGGTTCAAATGCCGGCCTCACCGCTTGCCCTGCTATGTGACCTTGGGCAGTGACTTGGGCTCTTCCTACCATCTGTGAAATGGTAATAATATTAGCTCCTACCTGTTCTGGGAACAAAGTAGGTTAAAATGTGTCAAGTGCTCAGAACAGCCTGCGCACGGAGTATTTTAGATGTCTCATTATTCCTAATATAATCCCGTGTTGGACTCATAGCTGAGGAAGGCAAAGAATGTGCCAGAGATCAAAGTGGTTGAGCTGAAACTGAAACCCAGCCTGACCTCCCTGCCTCCTCCTCCCCCACCTTCCCCCTGGTCCCAGGAGGTCTCCCACTCCTGGAGGCTGTGTAGTAACACTGCGGCCACCCGGGGGAAGAACAGGACAGGTGGACAGTCTGTCCCATGAGGGTGGAGGACAAGGCGACACCCAGCGCCAACCAGAGATGCTGGGACGTCTGCCTGGATGGGGAACTCTCGGAGGGAGGCAGAGCCCTGGGCTTTCAAATTCAGATGGGGTGTCAGAGCAGGTGCGTCCTGTACAGCCCCATGATTAAGGGGCAGGATTTGGCTCAAGGCACAAAAGGACGTTCTCACTGTCAGGAATGCCCAAGGTCGGAAGGAGGTAGTGAGGCGAGGTGGTAAGCTCCCCATCCTCTGAGGCATGCCAGCAGGGCCACTGGTGTGGCACAGGCCATATCCTCTGTAAACCCCCAGGCTTGGTCTGTGGTATATGTGCCGGGGAGGTGGGGCGGGGGGCGGCGGTCGCCCTGGAGCACGTGACCTTCTGAAAGCCACAGCAGTGTGGGGGGTTCAGCAGGGCCTCTGCAGGTAGCGTCTCCAGAGATTTAGGGCCAGAACTGTGGGCGCTTGGGTTAGCCCTGGCTCATCTCCAGGCCTTTGTAGCTCCTACCGGGAACCGTCTCCCCCCAGATCTTGGCTTAGCTCACCCCTCCTGCCAAAGCCTCCCCTGACCGCCAAAGTCTGGCATGCTCCTAGTGGATTAGGACTGTCTGGGGACTTTCTGCCTGTCCCTTGTGAGAACCAAGGAAGCAGCGCCTGTGTCCCCGGCACTCACCATAGAGGGCTGGTACCTAGTGGGTCCTCCATAAATACCTCTCCACTAGAAAGGTGAGGGCTTGAGGCAAATCATCGCCAGGGGGGAGCCCTGAGACGTGAGGCCGGAGAGCTGGAGTGGCCCCCAGGGCCCCCCACGGCTGAGCCGTGCCCCCCTCACCTGGAGCACGATGGCTGGCACCGAGAAGATCATGGCTTCGTTGAACACCGGGTTGGGGTCGTCCCTCTTCACAGCTGTCTTCTTTTTGCTCATCTTCCGCCCATCCTGAAGCAGGTACACCTTGACGAAGGGGTCTGTGGGCGAGTGAGAGGTGAGGGTCAGGACCAGGGCCACACTCCCTTGGCATAGGCCTGCCCAGCCCTAGTGGCCCGCTGGCTCCACATGCCCCAAACCTTCACTGCCGCCACCATCTCCTGCCGTCCGGCCGTTGGGCCTCTATTTCTTTCCTATTTTACAGATGAGAAAACTGAGGCTCACGCACGAGTCAGGAGAAGAGCGGGGCTTTGGGCTCAGGCAGCCCGTCTCCCGGCCCCCACACGTGCTCCCCGCGCATGGCGCTCAGCAGAGTCGGCAGACCCACCACTTCTCATTCTATAATGAGCACAGACGTCAGCCCTGAGTCACCCTGCGCCCGCTCAGTGGAGCCTGACTCTGAAATAACAAGTCGCTCTCGACTTGTCACCCTCCGCCCACTGGGTGTCTTTGCTGTACCCGCCTGGACCCTGGATCCCCCCTGGCTCCCAGCAGGTCGGGCTCCCCCCCAGCCCTCTGTTTTCAGTTCCGTTCTTGCAGGCTGGGGGCATCAGGTCCTGCCCGGTACCCACACCATCCTGGGGGTCCTGGGATCTGGGATGCAGTCCAACTCCTGGGAATCGAGCCTCCACCATGAATTCTAGTTCTGGGGAGCAGGTGTCCACCTTGGTTTCTTCCTAGTGCCCCAGCCTCCTGCTCGCAGACTCCAGTCTGTCCCTCATGGGTGTTCCCTGCCACCCTCGGCTGCTCTCAACTTTCCCCAGCTAGACTGATTTCCCCACTGTGCACAGCTCCTGAGCTCAGCCGAGACTGGGGGTGGAGGGGCCTGGCACCACGCACCACACCTGCTGATGCTCCCAGGTGTCCCTGGCTTAGCAGCTGGGCCACCGCACCTGGCAGCCCACATGGAAGAGCCAGGGAGCCAGCGGGGCCTTACCTGCTGTGGTCTTGTCATTGGTCCAGAGGAGATTCTTGGCTTTCACCACCACCACCGTGAGGCGCTCAGCCGTCGGGAGGTAGCTGAGGGACAGCAAGATCTCGCCCACAGCGTCCGCAGCCTGGAGGACACGTGAGTGACTTAAGGGGTCGAGGGAAAGGCAGAAGCTTCCTTCTGCACTGGGAAGTTGTTGCTCTTGCCTTTCTACCAGGCACCGGACCGGTGGGATTGAGAAAGGGACCCCAATCCCCCATTCCATGGGGGGTGTGTCATCTCTCCCTCCTGCCGGGTGTGGGTCCTGCCTTGGAAGGAGGGCCAGAGGTCGCCTGTCAAATGTGGCCACCAAACGCAGTTAGGGTCCGTCCTTCCAGTCCAGGGAAAACATTCTGTGTAGTAGCACACAGAGGTCCCACTGGACTGGGACTGGTAGATCGTTTGCTTAAATAGCAGTGATGTTCCCCAAGCATGCCTACACTTATAAAGGTCAACTTCAGCTCGGCCTCTGTCTGGAATAACTCCCCTTAGTGCCAGAGCGCCTCCCAGCAGAAACCTTCTAGAAGTAGAGCTTCTGAAGGTTTGGTGGTTCGAGCAGAAGAGCAGTAAACAGTGGTCGGAGCATCTTTGTTTCATGCGGTAAACAGAGTTTCCTCGAACGCGGCTCAGGCCTCTTTCTCTCATTTCCTAAAGATGCCGGGGTTTGGGCTGTTGTGGACAGTGGGGTCCCCCCTCTGCGAGAGGTGTGTGTGACCCTCTCTTCACTGACCTTGTTCTGGTCCTGTAAGTAGAGCCAGCCACTGAAGGGCTGCAGCGGGAGGTCGAGCACAGAGAGCTTCAGCTCCACCACCCCCGTGCTGACATTCCGCTCATCCTCATCGATGCCAAACACAGAAAACCGCAGGCTCTTCTCCTCCAGGGCGGCAGGGTCCAGGGGGATGGAGAACTTCTCATCGAAGAAGATGGAATAGGCATTCCTCTGGATCTGTAGAGAAAAAGGGACATGGAGGGAGCTCCAACTCTGGGGAGGTGGTGGCAGCCAGGGGCCTATGGTGGGGAGAGAGCACTGGGCAGAGAGTCCAGAGGCCTGGGCTAGAGTCCTGGCTCTGCTGCCCCACAACCTCAATGCGAATTCTGCCTTTGGTGGCTCAGCCCTGAGAACTTCTTTAAAATTATTTATTTATTTATTTATTTTAAGTAGGCTCTATGCCCACCAGGGGGCTTGAACTCACGACCCTGAGATTAAGAGTCGTGTGCTCTACCGACTGAGCTAGTCAGGCACCCCAGCCCTGGGATTTAAAAGCCCCCGTCTTCCTCTCCGTGGTGGCCAATCTGGTAGCGTGGCATTTGAAGCTCCCATAATCTGACACCAACTAATTCCCAGCCTCAGTGCCCATGGCTCCACAGAACCCTTGTGATGTCCCGGTTGGGCCGGTTTCCTCTTTCTTGCACGAGTTCAGGTCCAGCTGTGGGCCAGGCGTGCAGTAAGTACAGATAATCATGGAGTTGGGAGCTGCTGATGTCCCAGCCTCCGCAGAGCCTGGCCCAGGATGGTCTGAATGTTGTGGGATGGATGGACGGATGGAGTGACGAGGCGAGGCTGGGCAGACTCTGCTTCCAAGTCCAGTCCTGCCTGGTGGGCGCCTTTGGCCTCCTCCCAGGAAGCCGTGGGCAGGCCCCCTGGGAAGGTGCCCTGGCGGGCACAGCTCCCCCTTCCACTGGGGGCTGCCTTAGTCACTGCCCGGCAATATTTAGAGAGGAGCTCTCATTCCTGGCACCGTGCCTGAAGCTGGGGGGTTGCCCAGCCTGGGGGCAGCCACCTACCTACTGGGAATGACTGACTAGGCTACGATGCTAAGAAGCCTGCCTTCTTGGGAATAAATCCACCAACACCTCTGAGCGCACTGAAGCACGCTCTTTGGTCACTGCCTGGGTTGTGGGAAGGCTCCTCTGCCACCACTCCCTGGGAGTCACGTTCCACATCCAGTTCCCTGCTTGAGGATCTTCAAGGGCTCCTTCCCCTGTGGAATAAAGTCCACCCCGTAATCTTGACCTTGGCATTCAGGCTCTTCATGATCTCCCTTCTCCGGCCAAATGGGCCCCTCTGCTGTCCCTTGCCCACAGGGGCTCAGGTTCCCTGACGGACCATTCTCTGTGTGTTGTGCTTTATGAGCACACGGCGGGAGGAAAATGGGAACTCCAGGGCCAAGTCCTGGATCTCCTGCTCACTTGCTGGCATTGTGTTGGGCAAAGCACTCTCTTGAACCTCCTCATCTGTAAGATGCCCTCGGCCCATCCCACTGGGGCGAATGAGAGAATCATGGATGTATGGGCTCTGTGAACCAGGTTCTCGGCGCACATCAGGCTGTGGTGGTTCCTGTCTGCCAATGTTCCTCTTCAAGGAAGGTGTCCGGAACCACTCAAGATCTTCTAGGCAGTCCAGGCCATTGGCAGCGTGGATCCAGGCTCAACAGTGACACCTCATGGCCCTGGGATACAATCTTTTGAACGCTTACCAGGGACTGGGCTGAGTTCTTTGCATATATTAATACATCCCTTCCTCAACGATTATGGTGCCCATTTGACAGATGGGGAAACCGTGTCACAGAGAGCTTACGTGACTTATCCAAGGTCATGCTGCTAGGAAGTGGGCAACTGCTATTGGAACCCAGAGAGTGAGGTTTTAGCGTCCTGCTCTTCACCACCCACTGGACTGCTTCTCTTGGGCCCCACATGTACTGGGCCGTGGTCACCTGTTGACCATCCAGGAGTAAGGAGGGCTGGGTGTCTCCCATCGCCCTCCCCACCCTGCTCTCCACCCCAGGAACTGACCTCTATTGGTTGAGCAACAGGCTCCTTTGGCCTCTGGCTTCTGGTGGGATCAGAAAGTAGGGGTCACTCAAGGGAAACCAGAGGTCAGAGGGAGCTCGGAGGGCTTATTCCCTAGGTCCTTCTCTGCAGTACTGCTGTGGTCTGACCACGTCCTGTCCCTTGACCGAAGGACACAGCGCCTATCAGGGTGGCCCCTCCACACGCCTGCCTCTCTCCTTTTGGGTCCAGGAGCCTCCCCTTCCCCTTATCCCTCAGACAATGGTCCACTCCATCTCTCACATCACCCTACACCCACCCATGCCACTGTTTGTTTTTCTTAAGATTTATTTATTTATTTTAGAGAGCGGGGGCAGGGGAAGAGAGAGAGGGGGGAGGAGGAGCAGAGGGACAGGGAGAGACAGAATCTCAAGCAGACTGCCCACTGAGTGAGGAGCGCGACATGGGCTCGATCCCACGACCCCAAGATCATGACCTGAACCCAAATCAAAAGTCGGATGCTTAACCGACTCAGCCACCCAGGCCCCCCTCGCCCACACCACTGTTAACAGTTCTGTTATTAAGCTCTCCCCAAATTAGCCAACTTGAACATGTCATCCCTTTCCTGCCAGGACCCTAAGCTGACCCAGGGGACAGGTGTGGAAATGGACAATTACCACACACTGGGCTCATGTGGTAGCTTTGCCGAGAACTGCGCATGGTGTGAGTCCTCAGGTTAGTGGCACCTTCAGCTCTGGGATTAGCATCCAAAGCTGCCCTGCGGCACCCTCCTCACATCCGGCCTGGCCCTGCAGACCCGCCTGCCTGGGGAGGACTCCCGGGAGCCCAGAGCACACCGCTGCCCCGGCCCCCACTTACCCGGGAGATGCCCACGATCTGCTCATCGGGCAGCAGGCTGACGCGCATGAAGCAGGACTCGAAGCCGGCTTCTTCCCGCTCCAGGAGGTCCTTGCCCTGCAGCACCGCCACGTGGAGGGTGTGGGAGGCCGCATCGTAGTCCATGCTCACCTCCACCTGGCCCAGCGTGAAGTCCTGCCCGAAGGTGTTGCTCACGGAGGAGATGGAGTTCAGGGAGTCCGCCGACTGGGACTTGCGGAGGGTCCCATAGGGGGCCAGGTCCAGCTCCCGGCCCATCAGCTCCAGGGGCCCCAGCTCACTGATGCTCTCAAAGGTGTCCTCAATGCTGAGGCTGCCTTTGCGACTGGGTGGTCCCTGAGTGCTGGCCCGCTGGGCATTCCAAGCAGGCACTCTCTGGGGGTGAGAAAAAGGAACACGGGAGCATCACAATGCAATAGGCATGGTCTTGTGAGCCCGGTTCATTCGAGGCACCTCTAGTTCTCCTTTTGCAGAAATAATGCATGCCTTAGTCAGGAAGGTCCTTGTTTTCTTGTTTGTTTTTTTGAAGGATTTATTTATTTATCTTGGGGGGGAGAAGGAGCGGGGGGGAGAGAGAGAGAGAGAGAAGAGTACAAGCAAGGGGAGGAGCAGAGGGAGAGAACATCCAAGCAGACTCCCACTGAGCGTGGAGCCCAGTGTGGGCCTCGATCTCACAACCCATGGGATCAGGACCTGGGCCAAAACCAAGAGTCCAATGCTCAACTGACTGAGCCACCCAGGCGCCCCAGGAAGGTCCTTGTTTAGTGCTATTTTGTGTCACTCGGTTTTCTTTCCCTAACCACGAGGGAAGAAAGCTTTTTCTCAAAATGTTTAGTGATGTGGACTGAATTCCATACACAAAGATGTTCACTGCAGTGATGTTTATAAAAAGGGAAAGTAGCAATCTAAGGCTTCAGTGAAAGGGGAATGGGTAAGAATCTTAGAGTAGAGCTATTCAACAGACGATCGAGCAGCCTCAAAGGATGTTTACCAAAACATTTACAAAAGGAGAAAGTCTTCCATGTTGGATAACAGTTGCCCTAATATTCAAAATTTTCTTTTCCCTAAACTGACCCTGGGATTTGAGAAAACAAAAGCCTTTGTACCGGGCGCCTGGGTGGCTCAGATGGCTAAGCATCTGCCTTCGGCTCAGGTCACGATCCCAGACTCCTGGGATCGAGTCCCACATCGGGCTCCCTGCTCCTTGGGAGCCTGCTTCTCCCTCTGCCCCCCTCTCCCTCTCTCTCTCTCTCTCTGTGTGTGTGTGTGTCTCATGAATAAATAAATAAAAATCTTTAAAAAAAAAAAAGCCTTTGTACCATTAAGCATCTCCCATGCTGCTGCATAGTCTTCATTACCATAATTTTTAATGGGCCCCCAATCTGTCATTGAATAGATAGCTGTAATTTACTTTACTATCCCCCTACTGTTGTACATTTATGTTGTTTCTTATTTTTCACAAGTATAAATAATGCAGGATCAAATAGCTTTCTTAAAATCCTAGCTCAGAGGACCTGGTCCTTTTGAAAGTTGTTGACACATGTTGCCAAAATGCTCTTTGGAAAAGTTGTGCCAATGTACTGTCCCCCTCCACAGAATGGGAGATAGTCCCCTCACACCCCAAACAAATGAGCATGTGGGGTCCCTATCCAATAACAGATTCTGGCTGTGCTCTCTGGAACTCTACATGATGTTAGAAAAATTCTCTGCCAAGTGTCTAATGATGAAACATTCAGCAATATATTTCAAGAGCCCTAAAAATGTTTGTACTCCCTGACACAGTAGCCTACACCTGGGCATCCACTCAAAGTACATAATCCCAAATGAAGACAAAGTTTTACATATAAAACATTCACTGCATTATTTATAATGGCACTTAGTAAATCATGGCACGTACATAAAAAGGAATCCAACACAGCCATTAAAATGATGTTTATGGGGCCCCTGGGTGGCTCAGTCGGTTAAGCATCCGATTCTTGGTTTCAGCTCACATCATGATCTCAGGGTCATGCGGAGTCTACTTAAGACTCTCTCTCCCTCTGCCCCTCCCCCCTGCTTTCTCTCTCTCTCTCTCTCTCTCTAAAGTAAATGAATAAATCTTTAAAAAAATGATGTTTTATGATGGGGGCTCAACAATATGGGAAAATGCTTTAGCTGTGAGTTAAAAAGAGCAGGGTATAAAATTCTATGTAGAATTGACACCCGTCGTAAAAAAAACTATGCACGGAAAAAAAGACTGGCAGGTAGATTAAAAGTACTGGAAAGAAAGAAATCAAAATGTTAGTAGTTAAAATACAATTCACAGTTATTTGCCTCTGGGTGGTGGCATGTGGGGAGAGGTTTTTCTTATTTGTATTTTCCTGTTTTTTTCACAGGATGGTTTTTAAAATTGAAAACATTCATTCCCTCACCAAGTATCCCGATTTTGCAGCACTGGGCTATGGTGGAGACACGGAGGGGGACAAGGGTCCCTGTTCACAGGAGGAAGTTAGCCAGGAGAGAACAAGGGAATGGGGAGGGAGGGGAGGCCATCTTGAGAGAGCGGAAACCTCACCTTCTGCTTGGCCTCTGCGTAGGTCTCCCCGTACTTCTGCTGAAGGTACCTGTAGTCGTAGTTTGGGAACGGGGAGGGGCTGGGGAAGCTCCCTGATGTCCAGAGCTTCCACAGGCTCACCGCTGCAATTCCCAGCAGTGCCAGGGCCCCAGCAGTGTAGACACCCACCTCCCAGCCAGGGGGGCTCTTGATGACTGCAAGGCAAGGGCAGCCTCTCATTAGTAGGCTCTGGGGTCTCCCAGTGGTTATAGACTCCCACCCAAGGAGCAGGTAGTTCAGCACTGACTTCTTTATTCACTGAACAAATATTTACTGAGTGGCTACTATGTGCCAGGCTCCATGCTAGGTGCTAGGGGATCCAGGGTTGAATAAGACATATGTACTCTGTGATTTCTGCTTCTATCCCCTTTTTTACAAAAGCATGCATTTCTACCGGAATAGAATGGTGGTGGGGACACTTGGCTAGATCAGATGAAGAGTTGTGAACAATGGTTAAACATTCCCTAGGCTTTGAACAAATTCTTCCCATTTTTGAGTTCTCTGACCTTATAGCCTTCCAAAGACCTCTTACTTCCAGATGATCAAAGCAGCCTTTTGAGGTCTGGGGGGAGAGGGAAGGGGTTTGGGGAGAAAAAGAAATGACCCCGTTTTTGCCTCAACCTTATCTAGAACAGCCCAATGTCCATCAACTGATAGATGGATAAATAAAATGGAGTCCATCTATACAATGGAATATAATTTGGCAACATAAATGTACTGGTACATGTTGTAACGTAGATGAGCCTTGAAAACATTATGCTAAGTGAAAGAAGCTAGTCACAAAAAAAAAAACAACACATGTTGTACGATTCTATTTATATGAAACGTTTGGAATAGGCAAATCCATACAGACAGAAAGTTGATTAGTGATTGTCTGGGGGGATAAGGGGGCAATGCAGAATACAGGGCTGCTCTGGAGGATGATGAATGTATTCTTAAAGTTAAAAGTGTTGATGGGTACAAAATAGGTTAAATCCACTGAATTGTATTCCTTAAGCGGGTAAATTGTATGGTATGTGAATTTTATCTCAATAAAGCTACTACCAAAAAAAAAAAAAAAAGTCTCAGCCAGAAGTGAGAGGTAGCTTTTTGGCAGTGCCGGGCTTGGGCACATAATCCAGATGCTCAAATGCTCTCTCTCCACTGATAAGTAAAGAACTTTCCCTATCTGAGCCTCACTGTCCCCAGACATAGTAATTAACCGCCCCCTCACCTGTGTTGCGTGAGCTCTCACCTAGCAGAAGTGACCTTCTGTTGGCAAATATAATTCTCTAGACCATTCTCAGTGCTGCCTCTATACTCAGTTCAAATGAGGAAACTGAGGTGCACAAAGGATAAAGAACTTGCTCAAGGTCACAGAGCCAGGAAGGGGTGGTCCTGGGATTCCAACTTGGGCAGCCAGACTTCAGAGCAAGCAGGAGTCACCTCTGCCCCACCCAGCCTCGACCCAGCACAGTTCCGAGGTAGCAGGGTGGAAAGAAGTGAGAGGGCACTTCAGGGGTGGAGATGTATCACCGCAACATCTGTTGAACACCTACTGTATGCGAGCACCCTGGTGAGGGAGTCAGCCCCAGGGCCAGTCCCTGTCCTTAAGTAGCTCACAGTCTAGGGATGAGGTGAATAGGCAAATAAACAGATAAAACAGAGTGATGAGAACAGTCCAGGAGGGCTTCCTGGAGGAGAGACATCTAGGCTGAGATACGAAGGAAGAGCAAGAAATGTGCCAGGCCAAGGCTCCAGGGACTGGGAGTTTCAGGCAAGAAGAGGAGAGGGTGTAAAAAAGCCTGGAGTGTTCAGACTGTCCAGTGGGAGAGAAGGAGTGGGGCATTTGGGGCTGGGGAGCTCCTTGCCACCCCTTCCCTGAAGCCAGGCTGCAAAGGGATCACACAGCAGTGGCAGCCCCTCCGGCAGTGGGAGACCTCAGCCTGCCCCTGCTCTCTTGAGCCCAGCCACCTCTAGCCAGAATCCACAACACTATCACATTCGGGAGCGGGGCAGGGCCCGGCCTGTAGCCCTGGCATTTATCCAGCACTCAGCATCCTATGAGCTCCCTACCTCCACCTGCTAGAGGAGGACAGCTGAGGCTGTGGGAGAGGCTAGAGAGCATGCCCAGCCATCAGCCCAAGGCCACGGGGTAAGAAATGCAGAGCCTGGCTGCCACCTTGGCACCGTGAGCTTGAGCCTCCCCATCCAGAGAATGGACATGACCACACACACACCCCCGCCCCAAGCAGACGGTCCCGCCCTGGGGAATTTATCTTGCGGGGGCAAAAATCCCAGGAAGTTTCAGATCTGGTGTGAGTCATCGAGGCTGTATTTATAACATCAGAAATCTGCAAACAGCCTGACGGGGTCACTGGGGCCAGGTCGTGCTGACTTGGGAGGCAAATATCACTGGACTTTGAGAATTGAGGTCATTAGGACGTCACTGTGGCAAAGCAGGAAGACGTTTTCGGGCATTGTCAAAAGAGAAAAAAAATGAATCCACGACATGGTCCAACCACACAGTTTTGACGTAAAAATCACACAGCCTATGGACAAGGGCTGGGTGGGACCAGAGACAGATGAGAGGAGCAAGAAATCAGGACGGAGGGGCTGTGAGCAAACTCTGTGCTCTCCTGATCTCTGTTGACAGAATGTAATTTGTGGGCTAACCGAAACCACAATAGTGATATACAGAGGACCCCAGGCAAGCCCTGCTGAGCCAGGAAAGTCCTGGGAGTCTGGTGAATAAGGGATGGCCTGGGAATGGGCCTGGTAAACTGGAGAGTGAGGTGCACATGTGGGGGCTCCGGCCGGGATGCAACTCGGTGGGCTCTCAGCAGGGCCTGGGTGGTTCCCAGGGGCAGGCAAGCGGGTGGGCACTGAGGTCTGAGGTCCCCGCAGACGATGGGCAAGAGCCAGGCTCCCCTGAGAGTTAGGATCCCAGGGGGGCTGAGGGACTGAAGCCAGCTTCCTGGTTGGCAGAAAAGGGGGGCAGAAGAGGAAAAGCCCCAGGAAGGTGACGCAAAATGATGCCTATTAATGCAAATTTATTTATCCATTTTATTGACTGCCAGCCTCGGGTGGTATGGGAAGAATTCCTAAGGGAAGCCAGGTCTCCGCTGGGACCAGAAATGAGGAGGAGGAGGCAGTGGAGTGGCAGGTAATAAAAGCTTCCTTGACTGTCAACTATTCGCCAGGCCCTGGTCCAGCACTTCATTGTAGATTAACCACTGAGACCCCAGAAGCTGAGGGGCTGAGGAGATAATTCGCTGCCTGCCAGTCTGGCACTAGATCTGCCCCTGGGACCTCCACACCAGTCTCGAGGGCTTAGCCAGGCAGAGGCAGGGAAGGATTCTGGGCAAAGGGAAGGGCACGGGCAAAGGCCTGAGTTGGCACTTTATGTAAGTTTGGTCACTGAATCTTCCCAGCAGTCCTTGAGGGAAGCCTCACTGCCCCCATTTTGCAGATGAGTCAGTGGAGGCCCAGAGAGGTGTCATCACTTGTCCAAGCCATGCCAGTTCCTAGCCCCATGTCCCCAAGACTGTGGGACCTTGGGCAAGTCCCTCTCCTTACTGGTAAAATAGGGCCATTGCTGGCATCCCACTGACCACCCCCCCCCCCACCGCCCAGGCCTGGTGGGAGGGCCATGTGAGATGACAGGCTTCTGCTGGGACTCACCGCTCAGGTGGTATTCAGCCACATCCATGGCCATGATCCCCACTGAAGCAGCTGGACCTGGAAGGGGAAAGAGAGTCAGCATGGGCGCCTGGGTGGCTCAGTTGGTTAAGCGACTGTCTTCGGCTCAGGTCATGATCCTGGAGTCCCGGGATCGAGCCCCACATCGGGCTCCCTGCTCAGCAGGGAGTCTGCTTCTCCCTCTGACCCTACCCCCTCTTGGGCTCTCCCTTTCTCACTCTCTCTCTCTCTAAAATATATAAATAAAATCTTAAAAAAAAAGACGAAAGAAAGAGTCAGCAGAGGGGGCTTTGGAGGGCCACCAACCCCAACCCTATGCCTTGACCTTCCTGATGCCCATGGGCCTTCCGGAGCCCACATTCACTTGTGAGGAGAGCTCAGCCCAAGGTAGGTGGCTTTTAAATGGCATTTTTTTAAAAGATTTTATTTATTTATTCATGAGAGACAGAGAGAGAGAGAAGCAGAGGGAGAAGCAGGCTCCCAAGGAGGAGGGAGCCCGATGCGGGACTCGATCCCAGAACCCTGGGATCATGACCTGAGCCAAAGGCAGACGCTTAACCATCTGAGCCACCCAGGTGCCCTAAATGGGCATTTAAAAAAAAAAGATTTTATTTATTTATTTTTCAAAGAGAGAGCGAGAGAGCACACGCACAAGTCGGGGGGGGGATGGGAGGAGGGGGCAGAGGGAGAAGCAGCCTCCCTGCTCAATTCCAGGAGCCTGGGATCATGACCTGAGCTGAAGGCAAACGCTTAACCGACTGAGCCACCCAGGCGCCCGTTAAACAGCATTTTTAAAAAATGGTGTTTAAAGCTCTTTTCAACCACTCTAAGACCACCTTAATTTCCGGGTTGCCAGGTAAAACACAAGATGCCCAGTGACATTTGAATTTGATTCATTTGTAGTATAAGTATATCCCAAATATTGTCTGGGACATATTTATACTAAAAAAAAAAATTATTCATTGTTTATCTGAAACTCCAAAGTTCCTGGGCATCCTGCATTTCTATTTGCTAAATCTGGCACCCTTACCTCATTTCCATCCAACCAACTTCCTACCAGCAACAATTCTTTGATTCTTTGCTACTCATTAGTGTGGGCCCTTGGGGTGTTTGCTAAGCCTTACTTCAAAAGCTTTTGTTTCAATTGGAAAGGAAAGGCTGCATTTCTGTAATATTCTATTGTCAGTCCTTTCACTGCTCAGGATGGTTTCCTCCCCACCCCCACCCCCCCAATTCCAAGTTTTATGAATGCTGAAGGTCTGACTCAGTTGTTCTAGAAAGGTCTGGGAGCCATACAAGCCATTACCTGAACCTGGGCGACTGCTCACAGTTTTATTACTGTTGCTGAGAAGTAAATTTGTCTCACAGACATGAGCTAAGGGAATGGAAAAGGGAGGCTGGGATAACCCTATGGGCCTCAGCTCCAGGGGCACGGGAGGATAGGAGAGCCCCGCCCCCAGAGAGGTGGCTGCAAACAGGTCAGGGTGTTGCTTGCCCACCCGAGGGCCACTGTTTTTCTGTTCCCGCAGGAATGCCAACCTAGCATTGTTGGATCTTCTGGCTTTATATGATTTTATTTTTTTAAAATATTTTATTTTCAGGTAATCTCTACACCCAACGTGGGGCTCAAACTTACAACCCTGAGATCAAGAGCTTCGTGCTGTACTGACTGAGTCAGCTGGGAGCCCCAGTCTCCTGGCATTTTATTTTATCTCTCTCTCTCTACCTACCTACCTTCTAAAGAAAAGCCAGATACCTGGACTTTTTAATGTGCAGTTTCTTGATTTTTAAATGTTGTAACCAATTCACAAAAAATGTAAACACTGTCCAGCCACAGAGGAAAAGGCTCCTGGGCTGTGGCTTGGCTAGCCTGTTTGCAACCCCTGGAAGGAGCCTGTGGGTTCCCTTGGGGACTGGGGTCAAATCAGAGGGTAAGCATTTTCCTGAACCCTGGGGTTCTCCCCAATCTATGGCTCTAGAGCCAAGAAGTTCGGGTGCTTCGGTTCAGACAGGGTTATCCAGCACATACTGGAGTGCCAGAAGTCTCAGGGCAGGAGGCCTTAAGAAATGGGGCAGGACAGAGCCCTGGGGCAAAGCTCTCTCAGGTGCCCAGACAGCTCCTTGCTCCCAGCTACCCTGCTAATGATCCAGTAAGATGTGGGTCTTTCATGGTGATAGAAGGGAGGTTATTAACCAGGGAGGCTTAACTGATGCTGACTCGAACGGGGAGCTCATTCCTGGGACCCTGGGCTGCCGATCTTGATGACAGTTAACCTTGCTGAGCACTCTTTACTCCTGGGAACAGGGTTCTAAGCATTTTGCATATATATTAACTCATTTAATCCTCTAACCACCACAGGAGGTAGATACTATTACCATTTCTGGTTTGCAGAGGAGAGTCCTGAGGCCAGAAGGGAAAATCATTTGCCCCAGACCACACAGCTAAGAAACCAGTCAACCCCGGCCATCTGGCTCCACACTCCTAACTTCCGTGCCTTACTGCAGACAGGCATATGGTTTCTAAACTTTCCTAAGAATGTGCAGGCCAAACTGGTCACTGTGGACAAGTCCAGGGTGGCCCTAGTTCCCGGGCGAACAGGGTCTGGATGCACCAACACACACATGTTAAGGTGAACACACATGTCCCAGCCCACCTCTGCCTTGCTGGGAATCCAATAATGCCATCAGCTTTCTTTCCTGCTCCCTTGGCACAAGCTGACTTCCAGAGCGAGGCTGCCTGGGGATAGCCAATGCCAGCAGCAGGCTGGGTACACCCCTGTGGCAAGTACCACCTGGTATGGGACAGAACCCCGTATCTGCTCTATCAGACCTAGAGCCATTGAGGGGCCCCCAGCCCTCCGAGGCTGGTCCAGCTCCGACCCCAGACTATCACACTGCCCACTTTTCCCACACCCCTCATTCTAAGACCCCTTCCCCAGGAGCTGTAATTTCAGTGAAAGTGTGAATGATTCTAGGCACACCCAAGCCCCAAGTTTCTGCAGTGGTCCCCAGGGAGGTGGCAGAGGCCAGGCCACATCTACCTGGAGGGAGGGAGCGAGGGAGGGAGGAGAAAACTGGGGTGGGGGAGGGGGTGGGCAGCCTGAGCAAAGCTCTGAATCCCAGAGCTTCCCCCTCACTAGCTCTGAGCCTCAGCCATCCCATCTGTAAAATGGGGCTCGTGACTGCCTTATCAGGGTGCCAGGAGGGTAGAATGAGAAGTAAGGGTAGTCTGGCTTGGTAAATATTAGCTGCTGTGGTTACTGGGCCTGACAATCGTCCCAAAGGCCCCCAAACTAACCCCTAGTTTGAGCAGTAGAATCGTGTGGGCCGCACTGCCAGCCTGCAGATATTTTTTTTGTCTTCAATTAAAGGGAGTTGCTAACATTTAAAAACTGGGAAATTTCCCATTAAAAATAGATTTCTAAAAAAAAAAAAAAGCTGGATTTACAGCTTCCCTTTAGAAGTTAGAAGATCTGGGGGCAGGTGGGTTGGTCTCCCTCCACCCCTGCAAAATTGCCAAATTTTGAGTAGGCTCCGCCCCTTCGGACAGCGTATTTATTCCTCAGGCCCCTCCCCTCCCTCCATTCACTTGGAATCCAGAACCTGCCGGGCCCCCGGAAGCATCTCCATTCATGAGCCGGGTAAGCAGGCTTTCGGATGAGCTATGAGAGGTCCAGAAAGGTTCAGTGATTTGCCCAAAGCCACACAGCCAGAAGTGGTAGAGCTGGTCCCGCAGCCCTACCCCATTAGTAGCCACAGCCCCCACGGATTTCACATGTGACTTCCGCATCACCTCCCCCAAGACCCCAATGGGGCACAGCCTATTATGAACCTCGGTCCACAGAGGAGGAAGATGAGGCTCAGCGAAGGGCAGTGAATTTGCCCAAGGTCAACCAACCAGTAAGCAGGGAGCTGAGACTGAGCCAGAGCTCAGCAGTAAGAGGCTTTCCTCACTGGCCCGGGAACGCCCTGGCTCCATCTCATGGACCGCAACCTCGGCAGGCTCCCGTCGCCAGCCTGGAGGTCCGCCTGGCAGAGGGGCTGCGGCTTCGGCTCGCAACAGGATGCTGACAAGGCACATCGGGAAGCCAGGGCAGCCTATGACAGGGCTCCCCTGAGCTTCTGATACACAGGAAGCGGGGCTCAACCCGGCTGGGCCAGAGCTGCCCCAAACTCACACCCGAGCTCCTCAGATGCATGTCCCCATCTCTGGCACCCTTTCCCATTCAGTCTATTCATTCTGGCCCCAACCCCCGAAACCCGAAACTGCATGGGGCTTGCTCACTGGAAACCGCTCTAGGTTCAAATCCAGGCTTAATCATACCTACCTGGCAATAACTACCGACTACTGTAAGCATTAGACATAATTTATGCTAAGTGCTCAGCACGGAGCCTAGATTGGACGAGGCACACAATACAGACACGATGCTTGACTGGATAAACGGGTCCCCATTTTCAAGATGAGGAAGTGGGGGCCCCAGGTCACACAGATTTGAGTAGCAACCCTGGGATTGGTGCCAAGGTGTGATGGATCTGGGCCTGGGCTCTTGGCCGTCATGCCACCCCCTGACCAGGCCTTTCGGGGGGTGGAGGTGGGTGGGAAGAATTGTCACTGGTCTTACTGGAATCTGACGACAGTCGAGACCCCCTCCTGGGCTTGTCAGAGGAATGGCTTTCGAGGAATTTTGTGCCTCTTCAGGGGAAAGGGGCCACGTGTCTCTGCTCCCCCCACCCCATTTCCTTGCTCACTGTGTTCCCCCATCACATCTGTGGCTAGCAAGGTGTTGCCTGCCCCCCCCCAACCCCCACGGGTCATCAGATAATAGGAAGGATTAGGATGTGGGCACAGGGCAGTTCTCGACCTCCCAGGCTGTGGACCTCTTTAGGATCTTTAGGTCTGAAATCTTTTTCAAGTGCTCCCCCCACCCCAGAAACTACCACGTCCTGCTCCCATCCCCCTAAAGCCCACAGAAACTGCAGGACAGACTGGCTAGGGTGGTGGCGGCTGGCATTTAC